CAGCAGTGACTCTTTTTACACTCCGTCTCAACCGAACTGACGCGGAATGGGAACTAGCATTTGTTCGAAAAATAGACTACTGAAAATTGTGCTTTTGTGACTAAGAAAAGTTTTCTAAGTTTTTGTGAGATATTTTTAAACTGGTTTTCCTGCACTTTCTACCAGGACGAGGAAATGTTGACGCATGTCCACACTTAGCGAATAACATCAAACCATTGTTTTGTACTGTGTAAGATGCAGAACCAGGGTAAACCCAAAGTTGGCACTTTTTGGAAATTTTTACGGCCCGCCGCCTTTTCGGGGTTCTTGATACGACTCTCCTCTGTAGACGAGTATGTATGGAAACATCACATTGGACGGGGGAGAAACTCCAAGCGCGTGAGTAATTCTCGTTCTCCCCTGTGTTCCTGCCCCAATCAAATAAAATTTCGATGAAATTTGCACCTGCCTCTTTCGAGGGTCATAATCTTCCTTCAAATTCAAGGTTGTTGACGAGGTATGAAGATTAGGAAAATTCAAATCATCCTCTCTCCAAAAATCGCTGAATACTCTTAAAGTCTATTTAGTAAAAAATTAGCACGTTGGTACTTTTTTCTGTGCAACATGCGACTTTTCAACCTTCAAACGATCATAACTTCCTTCAAAGTCATTCATTTGGGAAGCTGAACCGGTATGACAAACTACAGGATTCAAGCTTTCTAAAAAGTACCTAAAACGTTTCCAAAATAAGCGATTCAAAAATTAGTCCGTTGGGACTTTTTTGGAGGGGCACACTTCAAGACACTTTCTCGAACAGACGGATTTTTCTCAGGTTTCAGTGGACGTACTAACTTCCTTCAAAAGCTATTCTGTGTAAACCTTGAGTGTGTCAGAAATCTACTAGTATGCGCTTTTAAAATTCTTTCAAGCATTTGTGGAAATCCGTTCCTCCAAAAAAAATCCTTCGAAGAAATCTTCCTTATTTTCGAGAAGTTCATCCTTCATATCAATGCAATTTTTTTCGTTTCATTCACTCCAGAAACATCGGAATCCTCTTGGAACAGTTTTTGCAACTGATAAGAAAAGAGCTTTGCATCAGCAATCCCTGCCATGGTGTGCGCCGCGCCTGCGCTGTGCTTTTAATTCGCCGATGCATTTCAAAGTCAATATCGATTTCTCCTGCTGATCACCGCAATTACGACCGCCTCCCACCTCCTGGGGCGGTATTCAATCCTTCCCCTAGGGGGATATATCCCCCTACTCTGATTCAATCCTCTGGGGGCACAAAAAAAGGGTTGCGGTACCGTGGGCCTCGCATACCTCTGTGTTTCTACCTGCCAGACAGTTAGAGCAGCGCGACCCCTCAGGGGAAAGAGTGCTTCATCAGTGGAGGGTAGTAGCGCTGCTCTAACTGTCTGGCAGGTAGAAACACAGAGGTATGCTAGGTCCTATGACGCAACCCTTTTTTGTCCCCCCAGAGGATTGAATCAGAGTAGGGGGATATATCCCCCTGGGGGAAGGATTGAATACCGCCCCTGGACCAAACTCGTTGTCGGGGGGCCCCTCCTTCGTTGGTACTCTTATCAACAGACGTTGACCCTGTGTGCAGAAAGGATGTGGTTCGCTGAGACAGAAAGTGACTTTCGCGTTTCTCCGCGCGAAACATTTTTCGCTCCGGGAATCTTGAATCCACTGACCAATCACGGTGGACCTGAAGGCTAACGCAGCGAAACAATGTTGTGCGCTGCGGACCGAAAAATTTCGCTTTCTGTTCTAGTGAACTACACCCGTGCAAAAATTGTACAATGTGTAACGACAGACACTTACAAGGGAGGTCGTTCAGGGTGTGCCAAGCTTTTTCAAAAATGGTTTCTTGCATGACATTGGGGCACATATGGGGACCACAGAAGCATGGTTCATTTTTCCTGAACGGCCCTCTGAATACCAGAAAAGGGGTCCCTAGTTCGATTCCTCGTGGTGACAAATTTTTGCATTTCGTGTTGACGTTTCCAAATTCGCGCAAAATGGAGTTAGCATGAATAATTAGTACCAAATTCATGATTAGGAACGTCAGTAACCCTTACAAATAGACTTTGATTGAAAAACTGGTGAAAAAGGTGTGACTAGGGACCCCCTTTTCTGGTATTCAGAGGGCCGTTCAGGAAAAATTAACCATGGTTCTGTGGTTCCCGCATGTGCCCCTATATCATGCAAAAGACCGTTTTGAAAAAGCTTGGCACACCCTGAAAGACCTTCCTTGTTAGCTGGTCGCTATCGTAAGAGGCATTTTGAGGCATTTCGATGGCAACGCACTCAAAACCACGGAAAACATACCTTAAGCCTTAGACAGGAAGGCGAGAAGTGCCCCCGCCTTTTCAAGGCCGTTTTCCGTTCAGCGTATGTTATAACTATTGTGTCCATGATAGGTGAGCGACTCACATTTTCCCAAAAGTTCCCACCCCCTCCTATGTTTGATTTCGGAAGATGGTTTGCATCTTGCGATAGCGCCCTCAGCCGCATATGTATATCTACCAGGTCCTTATTGCGCTTTGAGAAACACTTTATTTTGAGGAGAATTTTCGTCCTTTTGTCTTTTGAGGAGAACTCCGTCGCTGTCTGCTGGATGGCTAGGCGTAGTTAGAGTGCTCCACTGACAACATCCACAGCGCGTCGCGTCACCATCGAAGTGGCCCCGCCCCCTTTTCGTGGCCGTTTTCAGTTCAGCGTCTGTTATAACCATTGAATTACGCACTAGTTACAAACAGATTCGTTTTCATTTCCATGTGGCTGCTTTATTTGAGTTGAGTTTGAACTCAGCGTCTGATTGGAACTCATTCAAGAATAAAGTTTTGGTTGTTTATTGATCAATAGCAATATTTCCCACTGATGATTCATGTCGTTTGAATTAACACATATGAGAATATGGCAATTTGCGGGCGGTGCTATTTATGGGTGCTATCTTAGTTGGGGGGGGGGCACGCGGCGGCGGGCGCTCTGTTCGTCTCTTCCTCAAAAGGCTTAGTCCAGGGGCAGTTACGGTGCTATACAAGTAATGTCGCCGCATTTTTTGAACAGAAAAGTATGTCAGTAGGACTGTTGCCCGCTGCTGTACTGTCACCAGAATCGGGGAATTCGTGAGCCAGGGGGAGTGTAGCCAATCTAGGGGGTGGGGGGTGAGGGCAGCCACTTGACATGCGTGAAAAGCTGGACGTGCCCATCCCACTTGTATAGAGCCGCAGTTACTATTTCGCCATCACATGACAGTTTCGAAATAGGCGCCATCGAGGACTAAGCCTTGCAGGAGGAGGCGAACAGAGCGCCGCGCCGCCGCGTGCCCCCCCCCCCAACTAACAATAAGATGGCACCCTTCTTTTACTCTTTTAGTTTGGCTGTGTGCGCGTGGTCGTCGTTATGAGTGAAGAAAACGTTGGTAGCTCCGCCGTAGACGACAGACCTGCACGGCAACCTGATACTGACATCGCCACCAACGTGGACGAGAATGCTTCGGATTCAAATAGTGTCAAGTCGGCTGCACTAGTTGATTTACATGCCTGCGGTATTTGTTATCAGGTAATTCACAAGTATTTTAAATAAAGTGAAGTAGGCTTCAGTTAAGGGAGGAATGACATGGGATTGAAGAGCGGTGCGGGTCCCATCCAGTAAGGGAAGGCATGTGCGACAAGTTCATATTGCATGAAGGAGTCCACTTTTTTTAAGGGAGGGAATCTCTGGGGTGGAAAGAAGCTTCAAGCGAAATGGTTCACGCACCTCGGAGGTACCCTCCCTTTGCAAAAATTGGAATTTTCGAAGCCTACAAGAACTGTCACACCACATGCCCCCCCCCTTACTGGATGAGACCCGAGCGGTGTTTCAATTGCTACCACTTTTTAGTTGGACTGCACAAAAGCTCGTCACCATTGTTGCCAGTGGCTCCCCATTTTCTTCACGATTTGGGGCGCGGCCGCGGCGAGCGCGGCCGAGTCGATAGTGCCCGCGAACTGTGCGGGTAAATTTGAAAACGCTCCACCACCACAGTTCGCGGGCACTATGGACTCGTCCGCGCTCGCCGCGGCCGCGCCCCAAATCGTGAAGAAAGTGGGGAAGCCTTGTTAGTGTTGTTAGTGTTTACTAACTATTTATATACTGGCAAGGAGGTAGTATTAGTAGTAAAAGCAATAAATAGTAAAACACCAGCAGTGAGACAGTGAGTTTCAGGAAAACAAGTAGATTGAGTATGATCATTTTCTAGCTTTACAACGATTCCGAACGTCTACCGAAAGTGTTGTCTTGTGGTCACACAAACTGCCTCACTTGTTTGAATAGTTGGCAGAAGCATGGCTCGTCACCTTTTCCAATTTGTGCGGTTTGCCGCAAAGTTACTCGAAGACCGATCAATTCACTGCCTAATAACTTCCAACTTTTGCGTTAGTTATTAGCTTTCTTTTTCTTCTTTCCTTACTACTGTTACAACTGTTGTATTACAGAAGTTTTGCGAAGGATGAAGTTAATATCTACTGACTCGGGGTCACAAACTGCGGAACAACAACAGCAGTCAACAGCTCAAGTGGAAGAGATGGCACCCGGAATCACTGCCGTCTGTGAACAAATAGATGGTGAGAAATTTTTAAATTTTCGGCGTATTTAGACATCTAATCATGCCTAGAATTATAGAGCATATGAACGAAATCGCCGTCGTTGCTTGAAAGTCAACTAGACCGCCTCAACAGCATGAGTACAAATGAAGAACATCCTTATGCTACAGGCAAGTCATTTTTATCAGCACTGGGTCCATTCAGCGTGCTGAATACCACATTCAGTTTTGCAGAGTTCGATCGTTTGCTTCGCACAGTGGAAAATGCTTCGGCAGATCTTCTTTCTCGTTGGGATATGACAAAACGTCATCTGTTACACACCAAGAAAGTGGTTTGTTTACATTCCATATGCTAGTTCAGTTCCATCTATTCAATTATTGATTCAATTATTAATTATTATTCTATTGCAACATCTAAATAAATGATCGCGATCGATCTGACTACGAAACATCGCCGCGTGCGCTGTAGCTTGATTCAAATAGGAGCTTTTCTTCGAACAGTTCTAGACATCATTTCTTAGACTATTGATTTCTTTCTGCCCATCTGCTTTGGGATTTGCACAATCAATCTTTTAATGATCATTTAACTTCTTCGTTTTCAGAAATCTCGAACAAGCTCGTCTTTGCCTCCATTTTTCAGTGGCTATTCCGGGTACGAAATGCCTCATGCTTACTCCTTTTTTTACTCTCGCAATATACGTTTATTCAAGCATGGTGCGCCTCTGAATGTAATGTGCTTGATTCTAAATTTAGGCTCACAGACCTCTTTGGTATAGGGAGGCGTTACGACGAAATACGAACGGATCCTGCTAGTGATGACCCGTTTGAAAGAATTCACGATTTCCTCGGCTTGGACTCAGACACGTACGTCATAACATTATTGGGTTCAAAAGTTATACTCTAATTGGAACACAAAAATGTCCCTTATTAATTCGACAGTATTTCTCGGGATAGGGGCGTTAATTGAAAGCCGATTTGTGACCGAAAGGAAGTCCTATGTAAGTATTTCTTATGTAAGTTGCCACACTCACGTTGGCATGAATGTGTCAAAAGATCGAAGTCGCTCTTCCCTCCACTGATAGTTAGACTCGGCCTCTCTAAGGCGCCATCGACTCGGCCGAACCTAAAAAAATAACTGCCGTGAATAGTGCTTATGTGATTACAGCAGACGCGTTCCAGGCCTCCAAACGCCTACTCCGACTTTTCACTGTTTGGAAGTGAAACCAGCCATGAAACGGCCGTTAGTGCCAGCGAGGAGTCGTCACAAGAGAATGAAAATTTCCCCACCTTCGTTGAGCCTAGAGAGCAACCAGCTTTCTTACACATTTCAGTAGGTTTTTTTTGCTGATTTAACAGCTCATTATATGTGGTTTTGTTAAGCAGATGTTAGACTTTGCGACAGTCCGTGCCACGCAAGGCAGGTATTGCGGGTAATGGGCCGGCTAAGGGCGATGTCATAGTTTGCGAATCGAGCGATTCGCTAGCGAATCGCTCGATCCGAGCGTTGCGCCAGCGAATCGAACGTTGCGCCAGCGAGTCGAACGGTACCAGCGACTCAATAGTGGCGGGACCCAACGTTTAAAGGAAGCCCGCCACTTTCAAACAGTGTCACGTGACAGTGGACGCTGTTTGAAAGTGGCGGGACTTTGCAGTGGACACTGTTTGAAAGTGGCGGGCTTCCTTTAAACGTTGGGTCCCGCCACTATTGAGTCGCTGGTACCTAGTTCGACTCGCTGGTACATCGTTCGATTCGCTGGTGCAACGTTCGATTCGCTGGCGCAACGCTCGGATCAGCGATTCGCTAGCGAATCGCTCGATTCGCAAACTATGACATCGGCCTAAGGTGGGAGCATCGGTGAAGACACCTTAAAAATTGATCGCACGGCATTGCCGCGCGAGCGGGGGAAGTTCAACCCTTCTGGTAGTTCAGGATTGCAAAGCTGTACGATGATTAAGTCCAGCTTAGGCGTAGACTTATGTTTACACATTGTTTCTGATTGAGCTCAAGGGTCAGGCTGAACGTTAAGCATAAGCGTGCTATAAACAAATGAGAGATGTCGTAAAGGGTAAATCTACCCCTAACCCAAAGAATGTTGTATATCTCGCGAGGGGAGACTGCAGTTAGTGAGGAGCGTGCGTATTCCATAAGTCTGACTTCTGCCAAGTGCTTTAAAGCTTTCCAATGATTTTTTTTCTTGCCACGATTGCCTTTTCCTTAATATTTTTGCGAGCTCAATAATATTGTGTTCGAAAGAGATTTTCCAGACATTTGATGGCACGTTTGGCTCTTATTCGTACTGCAGACTTTGTCATTGTCGGCTGCCAACAACTCACGACAGTCATCGGGTTCATGTGTTAGGAAGACGTCACCAATATGCACTGCAACAGTGCGTGCAGTTCTTTTCGCTTATCTGCTTTTCTAATATCCGTGCTGGTGCTAGAGCTAGTGCTTTTATTTTCAGCAGAAATGATTCAAGCGTGACTGACGCAATGCGTTTGCTTGGATTACATGCGAACCGCACTCGTCAACCAAGGCGTCCTCAAACAACTCCATTTTCTTTTGCGAGACGCTTTACAGATAGTGTGACTTCTCAACCACCAGCTTCAGATCCAAGTACTCCGGCTTCCGAAGCGAAGTAGGATTCTTTCCGTGCCATTGTATTTCTGGAATCTTGCTCACAATTGCTTTCAGGAGACGTCTCTGATGCTGCTTACGACAGAAGTCGTTCGGCTAATCAGAACAGTCGTCCTCCGTTTGGCAGAAGGCGATTCTACAGGAATGGAAGAAACGCTACACGAGAGAACACAAGTGCACAAGCTCACAATGCCGATCACACTGCCACCGATACGGCGGCTTCGTCAACGAGAACCAATGCTAATGCTGCTCCGGAACTGGGAAGCAGTTATCGTTCCCTGCCGTGGAATCGCGGTCGGACACCTGAGAGAGCTAATGGTGAAACTAGCCGTGACAGACGCTGGAATACTCGATTCGCTTCTTCCTTTGTTCGGTGCAGCTCCTGCGCATAGGGGCAACTATTCCGCTCGTCGCAATAACCGAGCCGTACTGACTGGTCGTACCCCTCTAGCAACGCCACATGGCGGGTATCACATGCCCTTTCTTGTGCTCAACGAGCCCAACATTGGTTTTCTTTCTGGTACTGGTTTCTTCTCTATTAATAATGGCCTTTAGTGAATGAATCATTCGCGTGAGTTAGGAAAAAATGATTCTGTAGCAGAGACCTTCCCATGTATGAACTTAGATTTTGCTTTTCAAAATGTAGTAGAAAGGTATCGGTTACGCAATTGTGTCTTATTGTTGCTATGGTCTGATTATAACTAAAATCGCAGTTAGTTTAGTCGAACCGATCGTTCAATCGCACAACCAGGTGTTTGATAGATCCGTATTGACCATGCGAACATAACGATCGACTAAGTCGGACGATCGATACTTGTCAATCCTACGCCCGGTTGCGATCAGAGCTCGGTCCAATTGAACTGTAACTGCGGCCTAAAAACTAAAAGCTCCGTATTCAATTCGTACAAAAGGCCCTAGGAACACGACGCAATCGTGTACCGACATTCAATTACCTTGATCCTTTAGCACGACATGAGCCGAAGTGTACATTGATGTGGCATATTTCTTGTTGCACATTCCTTATTTATGTTGACTAGTTTAGATTTCTGCTTCCTTTAGATAGCTACTAGTCCGACGTAACCATTATGTACGACAGATGCTGACCCTTCTACGTATCATGTGTGGCTCCTTCTTTCCTTTAATTTCAACGTGGTATCAGTAGTGTGCAGAGAGTAATATATGTATATGTACAGTAGATATTCGATCAATATTATTATCCAGACAGCCATGAAGGGAGGGCTGTTGTAGCAAATACTTGTCTTTTTGTACTGAATCCATGACACAAATGAAGTTTGGTTTTCTGGGCGCATTATCGTATCCACACTAAAGCAGAGGCCTTGCGTGCCACCTTATGCTTTACCCGCATTCATACTCGGGCTTTCGGAGAATCCGTGGAGTGGCTTACCATTAGATACGTCTCGACTGACATGACAGCTTTCATTGTGTGTGAACTGACAGGTCTCCGCCGAATGGCAGAGATGCAGCAGCATCATATTGCACAGATGTGGACTAATTATGCTTCCTTTGCTCTAGGTTATGCTTTAAGTTCTGGTAGAAGCTACTTTTAATTTTAATTTGAACTTGTTGACGATATCACGCAAAATCACGCCGGTCCCGTGCCGCTTTTTGGCCGATGGGATTGGCATGACTACGCGATTTCGTCAACGTGTTCAAGTTAAACTTAAAAGTAGCTCACCTTACATCTGCGGATTTTGAGCTCTTAAAGGATGGATTCACGATAAGAACGAAGGTCAAGGAAGGGGAAATTTGCCTAGTGGGAGACAGGCGGACCTCCTGAGGTGCTGACTGACGCGCAATTGGCAGCGAAAGATTTGACCTCGGCGATCTAGCATGGCTCACTCTTGGCGCGGTTGGCGGGGTACGCCCACCGACTATCTAATCACTCGCCGCAGGTCTATACGTGGCGAGTGATTAGATAGCAGAGAGAGCGTAGTGTTGAAGAGGGCACAGCGATGAGAGTCGCATCAATGCGCAAATCAACGGGCAAGGAAGGGGTCCCATTTCTCGGGTTTCGGGCCGTTTCAAATGGTTTCTTCTTCATCCCTGCTCCACTGACCACCTCTACCCTTATTTCCAATGAGCTAACTTTTCGTTAATCATGCCAGACACGGATGTGACAAAACGTTTTCAATGATACTCAACGTGTTTTCTTTATTGGAATTTACAGTAAGAGTAGAAGTTTGACAGTAAGTGTTATGGCAGCGAAAAGGCAAATTTTAGTTGTTCTCGCTGAAGTATAAATATTCTAGACAGTCGAGTTTTCTTAAAGGCACGCTCCGCGATCAGGCGGGCTCGCCTGTTCCATCCAGGGGGTAGTAGGCAGGTGGACAAGTGTTGATGTCGGGCCCCTTTTGCGGCTTGAAAGTACGCGACAAAGGCGCAAGGAGCTCGTCCAACCCGCAACTCACACCTTCGTCCGCAAGCCCCACCCTTCGCTGTCGGTTGCCACGTGGCGCTGCTTGAAAAGCGCGGGCGCATTTGAGGCAGTGGTCCCAGCGCGATCCAATGTTATTGACACTGGAGCAAGTAGTTAGGTTCGTGAAACTCGTCCGCCCCCCGGCGCCCATCGCCCTTCCTAATTTCACAGTCGGAATGCGGCTAAAATATGGAGGGGAGGTCCGTACGTGGCGTGATCGTAGTTTCGTTTCTTTCCCTTCCTCTTTACAGACCACCTCCCACCTATAGCTTCATAACTGAACGCGTTTCCACACCTAATTTATCCCGAATTTTGCCTTTAAGAAAAAACAGTATTTTGCGATTTAAGCAGGCTTGCATTCACTACCACTACTCTTTTTTCTATCATGCTTTTGTTTATTACTTGTTCATGAGAACAGGAAAACAAGGAGTGTACTGAGCAGGAATTTTCTAAGGCCTGAGAAGCCTCTGCCGAGCTATAAGGCCGATGTCAGACTTTGCGAATCGCGCGATTCGCTAGCGTCTGCGGTCGCGTCGCGGCCAGTGAATCACTCAATTGGCTGGTACCGCAACGCGACCGCGGACGCTAGCGAATCGCTAGTAGCGAATCGTAGCGATTCGCAAAGTCTGACATCGGCCTAAAGCATATTGGCAATTCTGCGAGCCCAATGTCGTCTATGATCATTGAAAAGAATGTACAAAACAAACCCTTGAAAAAGATAGTCAGGCTATGCAAATGGGAATGGTGTGGCACGGCAAGGTTTCGACCAATATCACATGGACCGAAAATGGAGGCACATGTTGCCAGTGTGTTAAAAAAACTGGCGGCTCGAGCATGCGAGTGTGAATGTTAGCGCGAGAGAACGTGTCTAATCGGGCGAAACTGCGCAACGTGGCCGTTGAGAACTGCGCAACGCAGGGTTGACTATGTGTCCATCTTCCATGTCGAAAACAATAAAAGTTAACCATCACCAACTCGGCTGATCTGTAACCAAGTAGGCCTCCGCCCGCTACCGCGCGCATTGATAGAACTGACAATCGATGAAGCTTTAGGTTTCACCGCTAAATTATAGCTGCTTCGTTAAATGTATTACTGTCCGTTGCATAGGCTGCCCATCTTGGCTGTATCTCACTGTTTGATAAGCGCAGTGAAGTGCACAGCTAAAGTGATGATGTAAACAACCACTATGCGTCGAGTATCGAGGTAATTTAGCGGTCGAATATCTCAAAACGGAATGCCCAGTATTCATTATCATATTTATTCGAGCATCCCATTCATCCTCAAGAACTCTAGAAGGTGTAGCGGTCGAAAGGTGCTTGAGTTTACAATTACAACGCTGATGAAATGATATTGAAAATAAAGGCATTATCTGCTCTCTATTCTCTATTTCAAGTGCTCTCTACGTTCGTACGCATATGTCGTTATATCAGTCGTCATCAGTCGTTATCACTTGACCCCCACCAAATATGTTTGCGTCCCACCCCCTATATCATGTCCCAAAATCAGCTCCTGACGACTGCTGCGAAGCGCACTATGAATTTCGCGACACTTGCGTTCTAGCGCCTTTTATCAGCCCTTATCAGTTGTTATCACTTTCTGTACCCCACCAAATATGTTCCCGTCCCACCCCCTATATCATATCTTGAAACCAACTCCTGACGACCACTGGTGCCCGAGCTATGAATTTCCGGTCAGACAGACAAACACATACACACACACAGACACACACACGCACAACCGCTTAGCCGATTATATATATACCAGATTAGTCCCCCGTCAACCGCCGGGACCTTCCTTTCCTGCGCAAGCTTTCTATCCTCCGCTATGGTCCCTTCCTCCTGTGACACCAACACCTCCTGGAAGTGACGCGTATGCAACACAATGGTGTTTCATACAGTAGAAGGGACACAATCATGATATGACGGTAGATTTTTCGCTTCCCTTCCTCATCCTCCCTTCCTCTCTCCACTGCCCTCCAGCTGCCACTGCAGCACATGTGGAATGAACGGAAGTGTGCTAAGCAGGTGTTTATATAGCCCTAAGAGTGTTATCACAACTATCCTGCTACAAAACATTGATATCTCAAATCCTGTAAGCTACCCGATTTGTTAGCGGTTTGTTTATCCCATGAGCTTCCTTCTCACTCACTTCATTTTGCGGACGGACACACATACATACACACACACACACACACACACACACATACAGATACACAAACCGACACACAAAGTTAGCGCTTTATATAATAGAAGGATCCCATGAGCTTCCTTCTCACTCACTTCATTTTGCGGACGGACACACATACATACACACACACACACACTCACACACACACACACATACAGATACACAAACCGACACACAAAGTTAGCGCTTTATAATATAGAAGAAGGATAAGATTTTCTTTGTTATCATCAGCTGTCACATAACTTTCTGTGTGAGTCTTGTTAAACCGCCAAACAAAACACAATTCTAGAGAGAGATATCCATACTTGCCACTCCCTTTCCTAGCCTTCAATTAGTAACATGATAGAAACAAAACACAATGAGCCAAACATCGATTTTGGGCACTTTTTACCCTTTATTGCCCCACTCCTGGAAAACTGAGCCGGATTTTTAGATGAATTTGTGAATTTGGCTGGAAAGTTGCCTCGGGGTAGTTTGACCCGTAGAACACGAATATCACATTCGTTTACCGCTAAAACGCCTGGCGCTCGCGCCAGAAGCGCCGGCGCCAAAAGGCGCCAGAACATCTCGGATCACCAAATTCGCTGGAAACTTGTCTCAGAGGTATTTTGACCCGTAGAACATGAATATCACATAGTTTGTTACGAGTGAGCCTGTAGCCTGCGCTACGGGCGCCCGCGCAAAACTGATGTGATAGCGCCGGCGCCTGTGGCGCGGGCGCCAAGCGTTTTCGCGCTAAACCGATGTGATATTCGTGTTCTACGGGTTAAATACCCCCAAGACAACTTTCTAGCCAAATCCTCAGTCTTGGACAATTTTGATCAAAATCCGGCTCGATTCCAGAGAAGTGGGCAGTGAAAGGTAAATGGTGCCTTGTTCATCATTCATCGCGTAATGGGCCTGTTGTTCTTTACAAAGGTTTACCCCAACT